CAATAATAAATAATGATGACAATGGATTATACCGTGACAACGGTCTAATTGTAATAAGCAAAAAAGTGATTGTTTACGAATAAGTATTATTGAAGTTTTTAAAACGATTGGTAAAAAAAACCTACTTGCATTCAACTTTTTAGATGATACTACCTGAGACTGTAATTTCTATATATTTATTTGCATTAGGGGTTTTTTTGGAGTAAAAATTTTGGATTATTTTGCGGAATTCAAGATTCAAGTCTTACACAAATAATCACATCTTTAACTCCACAAACTAATGAACATTCTTCTGTTACTAACTTTATGCAACTTTCCACTGCTTGTGTGTGGAAAGGATATTTAGGAAAGTCTATTTGTGGTGTATTACAAAAAACTGCATACATTTCAATATGTAAAGAAGAATAGCTGGCAAGAATTAGGGGTTTAGAAGTTGTGTTTTCTTGCCAATCCATAAAATCAATACACTTTTCTGCAAATTTTTACTTAGGCAGTTTTGAGACCTTGTTGACCATGTTAAGTTGCAAGCTCCCATATGTTTTCCCTCTTGTCAGAAAACATTAGCAAAAGAATAGTCTGAAATAGGCATTGTGCTGGACTACCGGCTCAATTACTGCTTTTAGATCATAAAAAAAGTAGCTTAAGAGTTGTTTGCAATAAACAAAGGGTAAAAACTGATTATAAAATAATAATATCTGCAAAACCCATTTGAAATTTTGCGCGGTATTATGTAATATAGGTTACCATTTTCACAAGTATGAAAAAAGTCTGAGATTGTGGGTGAGACTAATTTGAGTTCTTCTGTCTCATCTTGTGATCTTAGTGTTGATGGTTATCTTCCTTTAATTCATAAAGACTCCAATAGTCACATGCTTGGCCTGGGTATTTACATTTGTAAGAATTCACCCATTTGTCGAGAAACCAGGTTTGAATCCACAGACTACTTTTTTATGTGCTTTCGTTTAGCACCACTTATATTGACCAAGCCCTCATTCTTTATCCATCAGCCAATATTGTTGTTGTCGGTGACTTTAATGTTCATCACACTGAATGGCTTGGCTCTAGTGTCAGTGACTCTGCAGGCATTAAGGCCTACAATTTTTGTCTTTCTTAATCCCTAACTCAAATAGTCAACTTTCCAACTCGCTTTCCAGACAACTTGAATCATTTACATTGTCTACTCGACTTATGTCTTGTTTCTGATCCTAGTCAGTGTTTAGTTTCTTCACACTCACCCTTAGGTGCTTCTGATCATGGTTTGGTTTCTCTAAAACTATTATCTCATTCTTCTTTACCATCAGAATCCCCCTATCATCGTACATCTTACAACTACCTTGAAGCTGAATGGAACTCTTTCCGTGATTTTCTTCGTGATTGCCCCTGGGTAGAAATCTTTTGTCTTCCTGTTAACAAATGTGCTTCTTACATAACTTCATGGATTCAAGCTAGAATGGAATCCTTTATTCCCTCTTGACGATCCCAGGTCAAGCCTCACTCTTCTCCATGGTTTTCATCACATTGTGCTGCTGCAATTGCCAATCAAAACCATTACTTTCATATCTATCAGCAAAATAATTTTTCAGAAAACAGACGCCTGTTTATTACTGCTAGGAACCATTGTAAAAAGGTTTTGTCTAACGCCAAAGCCCGCTATTCTCAGATCATGAAATCTATGCTATTCTCAGATCATGAAATCTTGTATTTCATCACAAAAATTAGGCTCTCGTGACTTCTGGAGAATCTTTAATAGTATCAATAATAAGGGCAAGTCTGTAATTCCGCCTCTTTTGTATGGTTCAGACTTTGTCACCTCACCTAAAGACAAAGCTGACTTGTTTGCCAAGAACGTTTCATCAATATCATCTATTGATGCCACTAGTTGCGTTCTACCTGATATAGCCGTCAAACAGGTTGATCCATTGCTCGACATTCGTATCACTCCAGCTTTTGTATCTAAAGTGATTTCCTGCTTAGACTCTTCTACAGATTAACTCTTACTTCTGATCTTTCTTGGAAACACATCAAATCCGTTGCAAAATTAGCATCTGCTAAAGTTGCTTCTCTTTATCGAGCTCATCACTTTCTTACTCTGGATTCTATTCTCTATCTCTATAAATCTCAAATCCGGCCTTGTATGGAATAGTGTTGCCATATCTGGAATCTTCTAATGATGTCCTTTCTCTTTTAGACAAGGTGCAAAAACGTATTGTAAACATAGTTGGACCTGCTCTTGCAGCCAACCTTCAACCTCTGTCACATCGTCGTAATGTTGCTTCTCTTTCTTTTTTCTACAAATTCTATAATGGGCACTGCTCAAAAGAGCTAGCGTCTCTTGTGTCATCTACTAAAATTCATTCTTGTGTTACTCATCATTCAATTAAGTCTCATCCTTTTTCTGTTACTGTTCCTAAGTGCTCCAAAAACTCTTATTCATCTAGTTTTTTTCCTCGAACATCAGTTCTTTGGAATTCGCTTCCTTCATCTTGCTTTCTTTATTCATATAATTTGCAATCTTTTAAGTTGTCTGTCAATTGTTATCTTGCTCTACAATCTTTATCTTTTCTCTTCCAGTAATTTCCAACACTAATTAGTGGTTGCTTGCAGCCTTGTTGGAAGCGAAGATGTTTAAAAAAAATTTTAATCCTATAAAATAAAAATTAAAGCTGTTATGCCAATATCTTGTTTTTTAGTGCTAAATATTATTGGGTGACTTAACTTACTTTAGTGTTTATAGTTTTGTAATACTTATGATTTCATCACATTCATATTGAAATATTGATCACATATTTTAAATTATGTTTGCAAATTAATATTTAACTTCTCAAGTTGAGTTTAATTTGGTATCATTTAATTTTAGCTTGTTGCTGAAAATCTGTGAAAAGATAAGTTATTCAAATTTTCCTTTGACACGTAATCGAACTGCAATATGGTTGATTGGTCAACCTAAGAACCTAGCTGTAGCCACTTTAGTCTTGATAGTGATAGTGATAGCAAAGCAACAGAAGTCAGTGACATTCCTGATGACAATGATGATTATGAAATAGAAATTCCGGTTTATCTCAAAAAACTAATAACCCAATCAACTGACTGTAAACAAAGTCCTGAAAGTAAAAAGCCACATATTCTCAATGAAATTTTGTCTTCTCCAGATATATCATCCACATTTGATCGAATCAATTTATCTGACCAAAAATTCACTATATTGGCAGCTGCAAATGCTAGAGCAAGTGGAGAGGACCATTATCAAGATCAACAGTCTGCCGCAAACGCATCATGCACCGTTCATCAACTGAAAGTAACATTCGGCAGAAAAAATGTCAAGTGAAAAACAACATATGGTCGTCCACTGGGATGGTAAGATGATGAGAGACAGCACCAACTATGAAAATCCAAAGTCCAATGTTGATAGAATTGCTATTGATGTGACTGGTCGTAATCTGGAGAAAATACTGGGTATTGTAACGATATCATCTGGCACTGGATTGGCACAAGCAAAAGCAACCTTCCAGTTACTGACCATATGGAATGTTGCAAATTATATTGTCGGTATGTGTTTTGACACAACAGTGTCAAACACGGGTTCCAAAAATGGTGCGTGCATCTTGCTAGAGAAGTTGATGGAGAAAAATCTTCTCTACTTTGCTTGCTGTCACCATATGCATGAAGTAATTATTGGGGAAATATACTCAGTTTTGCTTGGAGCCAGCAGTGGGCCCAACATAGCTCTATTTGAACAATTTCAGAAGTGTTGGCCAAGCATAAATCAAGCTAATTATGCTCAATTAGGTGACGCCCATCTTGCTGAACCACAACTTAAGCAACTTAGATCAGAGGCTGGCTCCTTTCTGCAGCCTTTCTTATGAGATGACTCTTCGCACTTACCAAGAGAAGACTGCAAAGAGATGATCAAGCTGTGCCTTTTTATTTTGGGTTTTCCGTTGTCAGACTATGCCACCAAGAAGTATTGCTTTCGCGTTCTGGGAGCTTATCACATGGCTAGATGGATGGCTAAAGTCATCTATTGTATGAAGATATACCTCTTAAGAAATGAATTCAAGCTGACTATGAAAGAACAGAACAACTTGTGCGAATTTTGTATCGTTGCTGCTATATACCAGCATGGATTGCCTGTCCAATTGCAAGTGATGCTCAAGCAAATGACCTGATGCTTTTCACAAGAATTAAACAATATTCTAAGATCAAAAAGGTCATTTCAAATGCTGCTATGAAGAAGCTTCAAAACCACACTTGGTACCTTGGGTCAGAAATGATTCCACTTTCATTATTTTCTAACACGGTTTGTGACACAGAAAAAAAGTTGATTGTTGAAGCTATGATTCAAAGTGGAGCTGATTGTAGTGTCAGGGGTATAAAGTGTCCAGCAGCAGAATTAAACAAGTTGGAAAAAAAGCAACTTCATGAGCTTGTTACATCATCATCAACTGCTGCTTTGCAGTCACTTAGTCTCTATGTAACCATTTTATCTGGAGCCGATCCAAAGACCTGGAAGGAAATTGCTGAATTTCGTTATACTAAAGCAATTGTTAAATCTGTGAAAGTTATCAATGACACTGCTGAGCGTTCTGTTGCTCTTATGAGCACATTTAATCAATCCATCACAAAAACTGAATCTAAAATGCAGAAACTAATACAAGTTGTTGAGGACAACAGAAAACGCATTCCAGATTGCCGCAAAAGCATCTTGATGACATATGCCACTGTTGCTACAGACTAAACTTTTGATCTTGTAAATAGTGCAACATTAAAATATTATTTGCATTATTTAAGGAATTTTTTGAAAATGATTAATTGTTTATCATAGCTATAACTCAAGTTTTTTAAATATTGTTGTTGCGGCGCATGCTTTTAACACAGTAAATTTTTATTAAGATTTTGCACAGAAGTTTTTTTTAAACAAAGAAAAAATATTTAAAACTGTGCAATATATGTATATATACACTTTAAAAAAAGTTTTAACTAATAAAAATATTTTTTTTTAGGGAATCAATTTGTGAAAATGAAGAACCCTGTCGAGGTAATGTCAACTTTAATGACTTGTTAATTATAGGTATTCTATGAGAGAGTGGTACGCAACCCACCATTTCAGGTTTCTTGATATATATATATATATATATATATATATATATATATATATATATATATATATATATATATATATATATATATATGTATATATATATATCATGGCTCCAAATTCAGTAAGGCACTGGATTACTAATGTACAAAAATCCAGTGCTTTACTTACCAATTTCATACATGCATACATACATACATACATACATACATACATGCATACATACATACATACATACATACATACATACATACATACATACATACATACATACATACATACATACATACATAGACACACACACACATATATATATGTATATATATATATATATATATATATATATATATATATATACATATATATATGTATATATATATATATATATATATATATATATATATATATATATATATATATGTATATATATATGTATATATATATATATATATATATATATGTATATATATATATATTTACATATATATATATATATATATATATATATATATATATATATATATATATATATATATATATATATATATATATATATATATATATATATATGTATATATATATATATATTTACATATATATATATATATATATATATAATATATATATATATATATATATATATACATATTTTCATTGTTATTGAAAATCTTTGGATTTTCAAAATTTTCGAGTTATTTTATAAATAGCTCTACCTTTGCTCAAGCTAAAAATTAACCTATAATGGTGCAACACCATTGCATCATTATATGTTACACCATTAGTACCATTATAGCTTTAAAAAAAAGGATGAGGAATCATAATATGATTTTTCTATAAAAACTGGGAACCATTTTTGCATTATATTTTTGCAATTTTTTCCTTTTATTAAAATACATATTTAAGAAAATGAGAATCGAGAAGTTTTTTTGAGTATTTTTTAAAGTAATCAAGCTAATTTGGATGGAAAAATATATGTTAACTATGAATGTTAGAAATAACCATTATTAAAAAAAGTATCAATATTAGCAATAGTTAAAATAAAAAAATAATTATTTATGAAGTTAAAATATTTAATAGTTTAAAAAAATAACTAAATACAAGTTTTTAATAAGAAACCAGTCTATATAAAACCAGAAGCTTTTTGTCTGCTTAATTCATTAATTGATTATAAAAGAAAATTTGTGTACTTTTGTGGCTGAGTTAATATAAATATTCAATTTTTAACCAATCATATATGTCTATTTGATATTAACAGCATTTGATATTTTGAAGATAATTTTGAAAATAATTTTGAAGAATTTTTGGAGTTTTAACATGGTTAGAATATGAGGGTTAGCAACCTAAAAAAAATCAAGTCTACTTAATCATTTTTAACAAAATATGTTGGGTAATTGAGGATGCATGAATTTTACAATGGTGTCCTTATTTTCTTTTAACAACTTGATTCTAAACTGATCCACTTAAGCATATCATATTTGCATATATCATCTTTTCCAGCTATGTTTGCTATGGCATCTTGAAAATGTTGTATCAAGTCAGTAAGGTTAAATGTTAGATTCATTCTCACTCTCATCCTTATTCATGTTAAAATCCTCATTCTCAGACTATTTTGTCATTTTTGTCTGTTGTATCCTGCTGAATAACTTGACAATGACAACTTTTTGTACAAGTCAAAGAGCTATGAATTTTTAAAATATATTCACTTTTTTTGAAACAGCATCAAAACTAGAAGTAGATGCCATATACGTTATCTTTCAGCAATCAGAATTTGTAAATTTTAAATACTTGAATCAAGTCTTTTAACTGTTTTTTAACCAATTTCATCACACGATAGCTTTCTATGTGATATCATATCACTTGCTATTAAGCTTTCCATGCATTCACCTATTGTAGATGTGTAGCTTAAAGCTTTACCTGTTTACTTCCATTTTTTTAGTTAAATTGTTTTATCTTTATTAACTTTGTTATACTCTTCAAATGGTTCTTCAATTTGTTGTATTTTTCAGTTTTGCAAAATGGGGTTGAGCATTGTCATACAGCAATATGATTACAGTTTCTTGTTAAATTTACCATTTAGCGAGTACCATTTAGCATTAGTTGCTTTAGTCTAGGAATTCTTAGTATATCATACCTTTGATGTCTCACTTAAGCCTAAGCATTACTTTTTTTCGATGAATATAGGGTTTAGATGACACAGCTGCTATTAGACAAGGACTGTTTTATTTCAATGTTTTCTGTTGGTTGGTTTTCACAGGTATAATTTTCCATGTAACATTCTCTTTTTTAGTACCTTGCCATATCAGAAATACAGGTGTTCTTACCTTCATGTTCATACCTTGAAGGTGTTCATACCTTCATGTTCATGCCTTGCAGTTTGTTATTTTCTGACAAGTCATCAGAACCCAAACTTTTGCTTTTCAGCTAATTTTCTTGTCAGTTGCTAATTGGTGTTCCTCAATCAATGCTTCTAACTAGTTCCTTGTGCCTGCCTGACCATTCCTGGTCCTCAAGATCAAAGTTTCTTCTGTAAAACCTAGCAAACCAATTTTTACAAGCTCAAACATTTAGAGCATTCTTGTTGTCAACAGAACAGTTGTCTCTCTTGCTTTCATTGCATTTTTATCTTATCATGGGCCGAAACTTGTAATGCATGCAATGTCTAAAATGTATCTTTTTACGAACATTAAATTAAATAATGATATTATAAATTACATAATTATATATAAAATTATAATAAAGTTTATAAACATGTATTAAATGTATAAAATAAAATAATGTATAAAAAGTATTGCATTTTCAAGTACTTGAAAATGTTGTCTGTATTTTCTTATAGAATCTGAATCAAATTTGCCTTTAAAAGTATGCGAAATTACTTGTTCCCCAAGCTAATATATCTTCATTCAAAAATGTTTGTTCCAGAAATCATCTTCATCATTGTGGCTCTGTAATGCAGACCAATCATCCATATTTTCTAACCCTTCTGTTTAATTATGAATTCAAAATTTGGTGTTATTTCCATACCAATTAAACACATCTTCAGTTAAATGTTGATTCCTCACAAACCATCTATAAAATGTTAAAAACTTAAGTTTTACCTTTTATATTATTTTAATGTCATTTTAACATTTTAAAATTCTTAACATTTCTTAGCTCAGTACTCTATAGTAATAAATCTTTCTTTAAATAACTTGATATGTCTGTTAATCTGGTAGATTTAGTGAAAAACATGTACCGTTTTATGATATTTATTGTTTAATAAAATGCCAGCTGTACGCGAAATATTGTTCTTTTTTTTTTTCTTTTCAAAACATTGTTCTTTTTTGATAAATTAATACTCTTACTAAGCACAATTTAATTTGAATTTAAAATCCGATAAGTTAATTTAATTTTAAAACACAATAAACAATTTTGATAAATTATTAATAAAATATATAATACAGTATATAAGTAATATACAATATAATATTATACAAATTTATATGCAGTATTTTGAACTGTGAAAACCTTTTTATGTTGTATGTTATTTTGCTATTATTTGCTTTTTTAGATTTTGTTTGAAAATTATTTTTTTATTTTAATGATTAACTAAGAAGAAAGAAAAAATATTTGATTATAACCAAGTCTTCCCATTTTATTATTAATTGTTTTTTCTGTGTTAGTAAAAAATCAACTGATAAAATATGATCTAAAAGTAAGCAAGTATTGATTTGCAAAGCAAAAACCACAATGGCAGTTAAATAGCTCCCTTTTTTTCAACCTTTAGTTACCATTTTGATAACTAAAGGTTGAAAAAATATTCCATGCTAACACCATGGGGTAGATGGGGTAATTATGGTATAATAATTTTTTTTTTAAAGTCAAACATGCTTTTAACAGCTGTTTTTTACTTGTTTTGTACCCTGTTTACTTACCTGATTTACCCAACTCGGTTTATTGTAGATATAGTAAAAATAAAATATTAAATGTAATGAAAGAGTTTTATTTTATTATTTTGTTTTATAATGTTATTAAAAATTAAATAAATTTTAAAAACATAAAAATCTGGAACACTATCTTGTTCAGCTTTGAATTTTTCAAAGCTGTACACATATTTTCAGGTTGATCAATGTAGTTGCATCCCTTAGTTTTCTCATTAATAATAACCTAGTTGATGGGACCTGGGTAAATTTAAACAATCTGAATTGCATGAGGGTTTCATGACGTTTCCAATATTATTTGATTGATTACTTTCCTGAGAAAATACCAGATCCTTTAAAACCACATATTATGTGATTAGATTTGAATGAGATTGCTACAAGTTTTTTTAAAAAACTTGGAAAAATAGCTTTATCTACATTTTTAAGACTTGACTCACCGTAAAATGTCGTCAGTATATTTTTTCAGTCAGTTTTCATAGGAGCAAATACATCAACCTCTAATGGTTGAAGAGCATGTGACGTATGAGGCAGTAAAGTTAAAAGTGTACAGGTTACATTATAAGTCAAGTGACTTCCATGTAAAATAAAAAAAAGTAAAAATTATAAAAATAACTAAATTTTATAAACTACTTTAAACAGCATCTCATTAATAAACTATATAAAAATCATTAAATTTAATCCACTCAAAAAGTAGAAAGATTTTGTTGAAAAGGAAAAAAAGTCGTTTGAATTAAGCCGGGTTTGATAAAATATAGCAGGGGCTGGGGCCGGGTTTGTGACCGGGATTGCATAAGCATTTATACATCCTAAAGTAAATATTTTTTATTCAAAATTCATGTTATATTTTGTATATATATGCATATATAAACATCATTATGATCAACATGATTATCATTATTATCATTATTATGATGATGATGATCATCATGATGATCATGATGATAATGATGATGATGATCATCATCATTATCATCATAATCATGATTATCATCTTCAACAGCATAAAATAGGAATGCTAAAGCC